TTATGGGAGCTTAGTTTCCATGACCCCTTTCCCCTGCATTTAGCTTTTAGGAGACAGCAAGTAGAAGTCCCTAGTCCACAACTGCCCCCCAAAGGCCAACCTAGAAACTATGAGATGAGGAACAATCATGACTGTGGCACCATTTATTTCACAATATCCTCCATGTTTGCTGCTGATCAGTTGTATCTCTGTGCCGGTTTCTGCTCGAATGAATCCTAAAGTGGCTCTCAATCAATTAACAACATAGTTAAAGCATAAGTAGGGATGGATGAATCTGTCTCTTTTCATTTCTCTCAGTTTCTAATTCTTCCAGTCTTAAATTCACTCCTCCACACTCTGAAGCAATCTGTGATTTTTAAAAAAGAAATACCTTATGAACATTCTTTAGCGTTTTTGTGCAAATTTCTAACAAACACATTTCCCTGTTCAGTTTTCCGAAATACACATATTTTTTTAATCAACTTCTCCTCATATTATGCATTTTAATGTTATTTTCACTAATATATGTGGGGGTTTTGCACATTGGCCGGCTGAAGAACTGCATTGAAAAATTCAGGAAAGTGTTAATTTAAAAGGATGGCTTATAATATAATATAATATAATATAATCTGTATAAGTGCAGATATACTAAGTTTTCCTTTAAAAGTGAACTAAACCAAATTTCTCCTGCATTCCTGAGCAAAAAATTATAATTAAGAATTAATAAAACCACAACTAATTATGATCATTGAAACAATACTAACTGAAGTGTAGCTAAAAGTAAATGTTACATTGGGACGATCATCCACCACATGGACACACTAGATCAATAATCATTCATTGTACTCAGTTCATGAAAATATGCATCCAGCATGCAAGAAGACCCTTAAGTTCAATTTTCCACATGACCACATCACTTTGCATTTTTTAAAAAAGTTGTCATGAAAATTCATGAGCCGTTTAGTGTTTCTCCTAGTGCATTTTCAATGCAAATTTGTCTAATATATATACATTTCCGCAAGCAATTTCCTGTGGTATGCTGCATTTTTGTCTGTTATTTTCACTAAATATACACATTTATGCACACTTGCCCCTAGTACATGCATATTTGTACACATTACTTGGCTGGAGAACTGCCCTGCAGAATTAGAAAAAGTGCACATTTTGAAAAATGGCCGTGTTTCAGTCTGCATATTGTTTAGTGTGAATTAGGGAGATTCACCTTTTCAATGTGAACTGAATCCAATTTCTCCCCCATCCTTACTCCACACTCCCTCCTTTCAGAACCCGCACTCTGAGAAGCACGACCATGCAAACTCCACAAACAGTAGCAACATACAACCACAAACAAAGGGAGCTACAGTATATCCTTGTAGCTATAAGTTGGTGAAATTCAGATAGGACATTTGATGGAAGATCCATTTTGGGAACTCCCTTCTACATCTGAATGAAGTGTCCATATGTCAAAAATAGGTCAAAAAGGGGTCAAAATGGGTCTGGTTTTTCTTTTAAAAAAACACCTCTGCTGGATCAGATCAATGGCCCATTTAGTCCTGCATCCTGCTCTCACCAGTTACTCACAGGAAGTTCACAAGCAGAACAACAGCCCTGTCCCCCCGGTGATTCCAGAGGCCTCAGAATACTAGAGGTTAAACTGAATCCAGAATGCATTGGGTGGGGTTGAGTGTAAACACAGAATATCCTTCTAATGTTTTTCTGCCAGATCCATTCCAAACTGGAACTGAGGGATATTATCCACCCTATTTTCTAAATGTTCCAGTTCTGTGCAATGTGAATTTTGGGGAAGCTGCCTGCTCTTATCTGCAAAATTACAGCATCTCATCAGCACTCAGTGTGGATCTCTTGTTTTGGGTCAGCTACTCAGGATGCTCGTGGCATCGTACTTATTAAAAGCCTTTCAGACCCAAGGCATATAGTCAGCTTAATCACAGCTCATGGACAGGTGCCACCGTGTAGGCCTGCGTCTTGAATATACCCAGATGTTTGCAAAAAGAAATGCAAGAAGAGAGCTGGTTCCTGGGTCTGGAACTGTACTAATTTATTGGCTTCCACTAACAACTGCCAATTGCCTTGCGAGGGAAGGAAGTAATATCTCAAGGTTATGATGTCGTCAGATGGCCGTATTTTATATCGCACTCTGGCAACAAAGCGGGCAGGGGAAGGAAATGTTTGAAATTACTTCTACTTTCACACAACATATCCTAGAAAGAACGACATGCAGCATGCAAATGAATTAATGCCACCTCGATCATCTGTTCACCACTTTGAATGAACAAAAAGTGCAGAGAAAAGTATTGTTCCATTCTCCCCACCTCCCAGAGTGGAAGGTATTTCAAAGGCACCTTGGTTTTTTTCGTTTTTTTTCTTTTTTAAAAAACAAACCATTGCACCTTGCTTATGGGAAAGGAATGGTAGAAGCTTACAGCATTTTCTGTATTATTGGTTCATCTACAGCATGGCTGGGGAGCCTTAGGCCTTCGGGCTGCATATGACCCTCTCGGCCCCTCTATCAGGCCTTAGGGATTCTTCTCAGGCCACACACCCCTTGGGATTTGTTTCCCCTGTTTTGAAATGCCTCTTGCTTGACTGGATTGAAGATGACGAGAGGTGTGTGACTGTGTGCAGAAATTTGTTGTCGTTTAGTCATTTAGTCGTGTCCGACTCTTCGTGACCCCGTGGACCAGAGCATGCCAGGCACTCCTGTCTTCCACTGCCTCCCGCGGTTTGGTCAGACTCATGCTGGTAGCTTCGAGAACACTGTCCAACCATCTCGTCCTCTGTTGTCCCCTTCTCCTTGTGCCCTCCATCTTTCCCAACATCAGGGTCTTTTCCAGGGAGTCTTCTCTTCTCATGAGCTGGCCAAAGTATTGGAGTCTCAGCTTCAGGAACTGTCCTTCCAGTGAGCACTCAGGGCTGATTTCCTTAAGAATGGAGAGGTTTGATCTTCTTGCAGTCCATGGGACTCTCAAGAGTCTCCTCCAACACCATAATTCAAAAGCATCAATTCTTAGGCGACCAGCCTTCTTGATGGTCCAGCTCTCACTTCCGTACATCACTACTGGGAAAACCATAGCTGTAACTATAAGGACCTTTGTTGGCAAGGTGATGTCTCTGCTTTTTAAGATGCTGTCTAGGTTTGTCATTGCTTTTCTCCCAAGGTGCAGAAATTAGCTTTTTGTAAAAAGTATAAAAATTTACATTCATTGCTTGGAGGTTCCCCAGCTGGTGGCTCCCACCACTCTTCTGCCTCTAGCCAATCCATGGCATAAGCCTCACATTTCATGTTGCTTCATCAATAGAGGCTGATGAATGAAAGGAGGATTCCATGCCATGTGAATGATTTGTCTGTGCAGAAGTTGGAAATGATAGTCATCCTAGATGCATTGAAATGTATATAACTACACCTGTGGCATCGTGCAAACCCAGACAATTGTCCCATTCCACCCTCTCTCAATTTAGATTCTACACATCAGATATCACATTTGGAGGTTGGCCAACAGCATGGGATCTATTTTTTCCTTCTATTCTCAACTAGGAAGGGATGCCCACTTCTTTATAATTGCATTCTCACATCTAATTATAAACCCCTCCATTCTGTGATGCCAGCAAAGCACTTGACAATGATTAAGAAACCCTTAGTCTGTAATCTTTTATTTTGGCAATTTTAATGATTGCTTTTCAGTGACCTTTCTTTAATCTGGTCATCAGCTGAGATTTTGCTCCAGCAATATCTACATTTCTCACCTGATACCTATTCTTTATTTTCACTCTGGCTAGGACATGTCTTTTGCCAGCTTCCATAAAGAAGGCTTACTTATGACAGACAGGCTCTTGGCCTGCCTCCTGGTGACCCACCAACCAGTGAGAGATTTTGACACCATCAGCCAATCAGGAGATAGAGAGGCAGAGTCTTAAGTTAGAAGCTGACAGTTTAATGGTCAGATAAGGACTTTCTGAACGGACAAGACCCATCTTGTGCTACTCATAATGCTCTTTGGGTGAGTGTTGGTGTACACTATTCTAATCCAAATCTTTATTATGGTCGTAGACCAGCATAAGCTAAAAGCACCTCCATATATAAATGAAACAAGTTAGATAGGCAATAAGGCAACAGCAGAAGTAGAGGATACACATTCTCATTCTCTCAATTACAGTAGAGCAGCATAAGATAAAAACACGTAAATCAAACCTTCAGATTTAGACCTGCTGTGTGGCACATACCATCCTCCCATGTATGTCAATCATTGCAGCACAATAACTGGCAACTGAATATGTTATATCAGGATTTATATCTTGGAGCAGTAAGGTGATATACAATTGCTCTGCGTGTCCTGGAAATTTGTGTATTATTGGCAGGATAAAACTAGCACGTATGTTTGTGTAATACTGGCAGTGGAGAAAATTGTCTCTATGTGCCCAAAGCCACAGGGGCATTTTCTCTCCTCATAAGGTGTTTTCCTGAAATGGCCTTCCTGGATGGCTGAAGGGACAGCCTGGCAATGAGCCAGAGTAAAAGCTCTTTGATGTTTTGATATTTCAAGATTAGTTAAATATGCCATTGGGGAGGTGATGTACCTATTGGTTTCACCGATGATGAAATCTGGGGACCTGGCTAGATCTGACTGATGTTCTATATCAATCATACACTGTTTTATTGTTTCTTTGGCCTGTTTATGCCAAGTAAAAACTGTGGGGTAAGACCTAGAGTTAGCATTTTGTCTACCACTGCTCATTTTCATGTCATTTGAAAGTCGTCCTTTATAATTGGGGGGGGGGGGGACACAAGGTCACATGGGTAAAAGGATAGTCTAAGCCAGAAGTTAAGTGTGACCATCCATGCCCTAGCCATCAATGTACCATGAGAGGTGTGGTGCACACTATTATAATTCAACTATGCTAAAAGAAAGGTTGTAACTAAAGTTGAGGTGAAGGAGCCACCGAGACGATCGGCTAGATTAGCTGCTAAATCTGCCCCACCCCCACCCCACAACCTCAACCAGAGCCGAAGCCCCAAAAAGCAGCACCCAAGAAAGAAAAAGGAGCAATTGGTAAGAAAGAGGAAAGAAAGGTAACAAAAGGATGGAAAGGACTCAAAGGAAAAGATGGAACCAAGCAAGAAGGTGCTAAAGAAGAAATCCACCCTGAGAATGGAGATACCAAAACTAATGAAGCACCATATGCTGAAGTGTCCGACAACCAGAAAGCCAAGTCGAAGTAGCAAATTTAAAAGGAGCTGGGTCGTTTATCCCCAGTTATTCTGTACATGGGTGTGATTTTCTTGAAACCCAGGAGAGAGTCCCATTCCTGCCTCTTTCGTTCAGGCTCATTGGACATCACCCACGTAGGATGACCAACAGCAAGGGGCCCACTTTTTCCTCAATTTTCAGCTGAGAAAGGGTAACTGCATCTTGATAATTACATTCTCGCCTCTAATTAAAAAACCCTCCATGCTGTGATGCCAACCATGCACTTGACAGTGATTAAGATACTCTTATTCTATCACCCGTTTTGTTTTGCTAACTGTAATTATTGCCCTGCCATGAGCTTTTGTTTAATCTGACCATCAGCTAAGATATTACTGGGTCAGGGATAGCCACACTACCACATCACTCTGGTGAACCTCTTGTCAATTTCCATAAACAAGACTCTGTTATACACAACATGAGAGTACGTCAGCTCCCTCAGCCTGAAGCAAGATGAGCACCGCACCTCATAGTCGCCTTTTGACTGAACTTAACTGCCCAGGGGTCCTTTACCTTTACCTTCTACCTATTCCATATTCATATAACTTGTATGTCCTGCTTGCCCATTATGGTGCACAAGGGGACATACATGGGATTCCCAGTTGGTCTTCCCTCCAAGCATTGACCACAGCTGCTTATTTTCAGTATGGGCACTGCGTCATGAGCTTGGTTTTATTTTGCCATCCACCATAGGTTGAGATTTTGTCACATAAAACACTGGCTTCCTTCCCAGGGTGCTTCCAAATGGCCTGTTTATTGAGCCTCCATCCATATTTGTTTGCGGGGAGAGTAAACAATGTTGATGGTTTTAATGAGCATTCAGTCCGATTTCTTTGCAGGGAGGGTAGATGATGGTGCAAGTGTTACACAACACTTTCCAGGTCATTCCCCCTCCACTTTCCTTATGTCACTGAAGTAGCATCAGCTTCCCCATGACTCCACCCAAGAAAAGTATGGTGGTTGTATGTGGAGTAAACCTCCCATTGTCTGACTCAGTTTAATATGGCTGCTGTGATGCAGCAGGAAAAAAAGCAATTCTAGACTGCATCAACAGAAGTATAGTGTCCCGATTAATGGAATTAATAGTACCACTCTATTCTGCCTTGGTCAGACCACACCTGAAGTATTAGGTCCAGTTCTGGGCCCCATAGTTTAGGAAGGATATTGACAAGCTAGTGCAGAGGAGGACAACCAAGATGATAAACAGTCTGGAAGCCAAGCCTTATGAGGAACAGCTGAGGCAGCTGGGTATGTTTAGTCTGGGGAAAATAAGACTGACAGGTGGTATGATAGCCATCTTCAGCTACCTGAAGGGCTGTCACATGGAAGACAGAGGAAGTTTGTTTTCTGCTGCTCCGAGCGTAGGACCCAAACCAGTGGATTCAAATTACAAGACAGGAGATTCCAACTAAACATTAGGAAGAACTTTCTGACAATAAGAACAGTTTGAGAGTGGAATGAGCTGCCTGGATATGTTGATGGCCACGCGTCATGGATGCTTTAGTTGAGATTCCTGCATTCCATGAGGTTGGACTAGATGACCCTTGACGTCCTTTCCAACTGTTCAGTTCTGTGATGCTATTAATGGTTCACCTATGCTCACAAAGACAGCCATTAATTCAGGCCATTTGGTCACAAGAATGCAATGGGAGGGGGGCAGAGTCTGTATCCCTTCCCAGTCTTCACAACTGCATTCATTGTGGAGTCCTATGACAAGCCATCTCTACAGCCACTGACAGTCCTGGACCAGATTATCACATGCAAACTGAGAGATCCTGGCCCTTGAAAAGAAAGCTTGGATATCTGCCCTGTTCCAAAGTGTTCATCAGTCCATTGGGCATGAACTTGAACCAATTCAGACAAACAGGCTCAGCTTTTACCCAACAAAGAAAGGGTTGCTGCAACACTAGCCAGGCATTTACCTGGAATTAATAAACTATATGAGAAAAGCTCCCACAGAAACTATTCAGAACTTTGCTGCTTGAAAATTAAGATGTTAAGAAATATTTAGCCTGGTCGTATGCACATCTATTCAGGAATAAGTTCCTTCCAGGTAAGTAGGTACAGCACAAGCCAAGCAGCGTTATCACCACTCTTGGAAACTTGAAACCAGGTCTGCTATTCTATCTGTTTTTAATGGTGGCATTGTTTTCATGGATATTTTCAATGCTGAAAGTTGCCTCGAGGGCAAAAGGAAATGAATATATGGATGAAATATGAGCTCGAGTGCAGGGAGCTCAATCCCTGTTCAGCCTACTGAAAATAGGAGGTTTGCTTCCAGAGACAGTTGTGTGCTACACCATTTTTACTCACCCTGTTGCTTGAACTGAAGCCTGACACAGAGGCAGGCATTCTTCAGGTAAAGCTCTCCCTGTCATAGATAAAAGTGGCAGAGAAAAGTAATCCCACAGGATTTCAGTATCACTGGCTGCTGTTAAAGGGGAAGAAAGAAAGTGGCAATCATTCTGGCGGGCGATGCAGTTTTTCAAATATCTCTCTTAAAAAAAACCTATCCCTCATTCATTCATTCATTCATTCATTTACGTATGTTTGTATGGCCACCTCATGAGAAGAGAAGACTCCCTGGAAAAGACCATGATGTTGGGAAAGATGGAGGGCACAAGGAGAAGGGGACGGCAGAGGACAAGATGGTTGGACAGTGTTCTCAAAGAAACCAACATGAGTCTGACCAAGCTGCTCTGGTCCATAGGGTCACGAAGAGTCAGACACGACTAAACGACTAAACAACAAATGTATGCATGTATGTATGTATGTACCCAACCCTCTAAACATATACACACACAAAAAGTTTGCAAGGAGATCAAACAAAACGAAATGCAGCATATAAAAGTTTATAAACTTCAAAATTCATAAAATAGGATTCCACACACTCAATACCCATGCAACTCCCACACCCACTAGCAAACCTGCACTTCAGTCAACTTGCAGGTGCACACATTCAGCAATGGTTTACACTCTGAGAAAACAGTTGCAGATCTGGATTAACCGCGACCTCAATGGACAGCTCCAGTCCTTTGCATGGAGCTGAAGGCTGATTCTGTAGTATTTATATCTCAGCTCTTAACTCTGGGCATGGAGCATTCAAGGCAGCTCTCATCAGGTCAAAACAATAATAGAAAAGCTCGAAAGAATAAAACAGCAGGAATCGACAAAACTGTACACAGCACAGTGCAAAAATAGCCCCTTTGAGGTCAAACTGAAACTTGAAGGACTTCTCCAGCCTATAGGAGGAGACCAGCAGGAAACAGGGCTAAGTGGATCTTCTAGCTCCACATTCTGGGTGTCTTTACCTGTTGCGGTTTAGCACCATAATGATCCAGAGCAATTCACAACACATAGCAAAATAAACACAATGCAGGGTTCCAAAAAATAACTCAGAAACAATTAACTTTAACCAGTAATTATTTACTGAAAGCAAATGAGCATAACAGTGACAAATCCAACTCTTCAGGATTGGCATAGTCTCTTAGGAAAATCCCAGTTACAGTAAAAACTTAGCTTAAACTTACAATGACTGAAACCTTAGCACTTAAACATACCATGTACAGATCACCACACAGGAACTAAGTAGAGAGAAACAAGAAAAAAAGAAAGACAGAAAGTAAGGTCTGTCCTTATAGTCAGTGTGACCTTGAAAGAAAGAGATAATAGTACCAGTATGAACCAGCTTAACTCAGCTTCTCTGAAGGAATAACCCAAACATCAGGAACTTTCTGCTTGTTTCCAGGCAAAATAGAAACTTACTTGTCAGCTAGAAACTTCCAGCTCACACCCACTTGTACCACACAGAGAAAGTTCCAGAACCTTCTTGAATCAAATAGAATAGAGAATATTTCTACACTTTAAACCAATACTTACTGTACTCAGAAATGCAAGCCATGACAGTACCAAGCAGGTCCTGTCCTGTGTTCCACCAAAATGTGTTTGATGGAAATAGGAACATAGGAGGAGGTATTGGCAGATGGGCAGTTTACAGAGGAGGAAATGGTCCTTTCAGTAACCTGCTCCTATCACCTACCAGCTTGTGTTACTGGAGTGGTGCTGTTGCCACTTTTCCATGGCCTTAATTTCAAGGGGCAGTGTGATTATAGGAGGGCTGGGTGGATGGAATAACAACGTCATTGGCTGGCTCAGTATAAGGTAGTTGCTTTCCCAGGTGTCCAGCAGTTGTAAAACAACAACCACCACACCTTAAGATATTTTAAGTTCTGCAATCCCTCCTGCCACTCATCTCTCCTGCTGAAAACATCGTGTACAATGAGAGTGTGCTTTGTATCATTACCAATGCACTTAACCTTGCGTGCAAATAGGTGGAGGAGGGGGAATTTGGAACAAAAGCATGAAAAAGTCAGCAAGCAAACCCCATTGCTGTCACTGAGGTAACCATGCATTGTTAGAAGCACATTTGCATAGGCTGCTCCTTATCTGAGTCCACCAAAAATCCCAGAGAAACAGTCAGCAATTGAAAAGGGTCTGTTGGGAGGTAGGAAAAAGACTGGCTGTGGTGCTGGCTGCTCAGTGATATCTATTCTCTGGCTGGGGGCAGGCGGGGACCAGTAGCTGATTTAAGGTAGTCTGAAGTTCAAGGTATTCAGCTGGCTCCTTCATGTTGACTTGTTCCCTGATTCCTCCTTGAAAAGAGCAAACCCAGTTTGATGCTCAGTGCAAATAATTGCTTCCAGCAAAAACAACCGCCCTGTGTCTGCTCTGCTCATTGGTTGCTGCTGGCTCTGAGATTGAACAACATGCTAAAATTGAGGCGGATATACAAAGGCAGTTTTGTACATATTTGAAGCATCTCTCTACAGGGAAATTCTTTCAGCATTTAACACATCCCTAGCCTTGGTGCATGAGACCAGGTGGAATAAAACTGAAATATATTCACACCACAGAGCCTAAATCTGCTATTCAGTGTGTGGTGGACAGAACAACATTTCAAATATATACTGTGCATGCTTTATTTATATGAATGATTTATATACTGCTTAACTGCTGTAGTCTCTAAACCATTGACAAGAAACAATGCAAAGAATAAACATTTGTTGGCACTATTAAATCAATCATCAATTAAAATGCCTGCCAGACCAAAAAAAAAAGGTTAAGTAAGTCCTAGAGTTCAGCAGAGAGGGGGGGAGGTGTCTGACCTCAGCTGGAAGGAACTTCCATAAAATTATCTCACCAGTAAATTACTTTGATTTGATCAGAGGGGCCAGTTTTACAGAGAAATGGGAGACTTACCAACTATACCACTTGAAATGGCAAATGGAGGGATAACATTTTAAAATCCGTGTGTGTGTGTGTGTGTGTTTAAACTTATCCATGTGGTAAACTAGGATAAAATGAAGAAAGTTCAGCACAGCTATTGCCTTAAAGTGCTAGTTCTATCCTTTTACTACATTTCAGTGAGTCTTTTTTGTTTAGGTTTCAAAACACACACGCACACACACACGAAAAAGAGAGAGAGAGAGAGAGAGAGAGAGAGAGAGAGAGAGGGAGGTGTTCAGAAATAGTAAGTGGTATCCAGCAAAGTAGTTCCATTAGCACAAGGGTTTTTCGCTGTGAAACAGAACTCCCCATCCCTCTCTTCTTCCTGCATGCCCCACTGCCACTTAGTATGCGCTGGAGTTTTCCCCAACCCTCCAGAGCAGATTTGGAGAGGGTGCCAGAAGGGTGTGGGGTGTCTGCAATAACCAGCCTCCTATAATTAACATGTTTAAGACTAATTAATGCATGAAGGAGTTAAGACCATAGAGTAAGCTGTCCTGCCAGGCTTAGCTCACCTTGGGAGCAACTAGGTAACCAAGGCTATTGTTCAACCTCCAGTCTACCTGAGAAGCTCAACTTGTGAAGAAGTTTGAGCCGACTGCTGCAGTTCAGAACACATGGCTCTTACTAAGTCTCTCTTGAGTTCCTGTACCAATAAGTTTGGAACTTTCACCACCAATAAGTTTGGAACTTTAGCCATGTTTTACTTCCTGAGCAACTTTTTCTGAATGCTGCCTGGAAAAGTGCATGAATCTGACCTTTGGCGAGTTTGTAAGTAATCCATTTTTAAATTACCAAACATGTGGTCTTTTTCTATACTGGGGAAGAGGGAAACTTTGGCTCTCACAAGGTCATATTGGAACTCACAAGAGCATATGTTAAAGGTCTAACAGTCTATATTTCCATGCTTTACTTTGCTGCATTGCCCCTCCCAAACTTAGAATTTTCATTTTATACCTATTTATTCCTTGAACCAACAGGGAGAAGAGAGGCAAAGTTCTATCTCAGAAGCAGAAATCCTTACGCTACCAGAACTACTTTATTGGATGTTGTCTCCCACCTGCAGTCTGAAGTGGTACAATCCAAAATTCACACCCACCCACATTATTCTTACTCCCTAGTCAGGTTGCAGACATCTGTACTCTTACATGTGAGTAAGGCCTATTTAATACAAAGGGATTTGCTTCCAAGTAAGCATACACTGGGTTAGGTTCTTCATGTGCTTATGCCTTTATAGGGTGTGCAATGTAAGCAAGGGATTGGAACTGCCTTATGATTCAAGCTCGCTATTAATTTGTTCAGAACCCAAACCCACATGGAACCCAAACGTGCAGTTTGGGACCCACTTCTTAATTCATATAATTGTAGAGCTGGAAGGACCTTGAGGGTCATCTAGTCCAACCTCCAACACTATATAAGGATCCAGCTAGTGGTGGGAAATGAAATGCTGCTTCTTGGGGGATGTATGTGGTGCAATTTTTGTGCTGGCTGAGTGTCTGTTAAAGAGCTGTATTGGGTGGGAAAGGCACTGTTACTGTTCTGGCATTAAGGAGAGAGACAACACACCTGATAAGCAGCCTAATATGACGGGATGATGATTATATCGCCTTCTCAATATATATTGATTTCAGCTGGCGTAGAGCTATCAAAAGACTTGACTCTTCATAGCTTTATGGTATGTACATTGTATTGTTAACTTGTGCAATCAGTGACAAGTGTTTTATAATACTACTTGTAGACACCCCAAAGTAGCTGTCACCTGAATCGGTGCTGTTGTGTTTGGGCTTGGCCTATGAGGCTGTTGCTGTTAATAGGGTGCAATTAATGCTGATGATACACCCCAAGCTGGCACACTGTCAAGAGAGGGTGGAATCAACATTTCCTCCCTCTGCATTTCAGTAGATATTCCTTGAGAGAATCCATATTTTGTCCCACTTGCTGGCAGTGCAAGTCTAAGCTTTTCTACTTGGAAGTAAGTCCAATGGAATTCTATGGAACTTGCATAGGATTGTGATCTTAGAGGTTCTTATCTCTACAGACTCTAGTGTTTTCAGGTATTCATCCTTGCCACAAAGCATTTTTTGCTTAAAAGGAGCGGTGGTGTCGCTTGCATTGCTGGGAAGTGTAGGAAGTCATTGCAAGTCTTAGAATGCATGAATTTGCAGCATAGTCTAAAGCAGATGCAAAAGCAAAGTTCTAAGCCTTGCTGAAAAACTGCCTTCCTCTTCACCAAATCTGAAACGGTGTTGCTGGCAACAAGATTAAGATTCCATGCTAACTGACACAGCTAATGCCAGATTCAAAGCCCTGTACAGGGAGAAAAGTGGGAGGGGAGCAAGAAAATAAGGTGCCTTTGCTGAACCATCAGGTAGACTGGCACAGAAAAAAGGCCTGGAACAGGCCTGTTGTCATGCCCCATTTGAGGGGTTTATGCAGGCTACAGGCAGAGCTTCCCTGCCAGTGGGGGCTGGCAGAAGCAGGCAAGCAGCGTGGAGGGACACCATCTAAACATTCCCCCTTACCACAGTGGATTGGGGGTTTAGACTGTCCTGTAATGCAAGTTATAGTGCAGTCATTTGCTGCCAACTGATGTTGACTTAACCAGAGTTTCAACAAGATACACTAGACCAAAGCTCAACTCTGAGACCTTTAAAGTAGGGGTTTGCTCTTGCTCTTGGCCAACTAGCCCAGGCACAGCTGAGGTTAGAGGACAAAGGCAGAAGGACCTCTGTTGGATGTGAACCTTGATCTTTCCCTCCTTGTAGAATGGGGAGGGCATTTAAGTAGAAGATCTCCATCTTCCATTGTTCTCTTCCTAATGCATGGTAGTAGGAACTATGTGGTCTACTAGCAGTATGGGTATTGGAAGATTTTCTGAGTGAGGCAAGTTAGGCATGGAAACCCAGGGGAAGGCAAAACACTGTTGGTTGGCTACCTAGGCAGTCAAGTTTTTGAAACAAAGAATCTTAACATTCAAGGTTTGGATTGTGTTAAGATTGACCTTGAGTTTCAAAGCATATATATACTCTATGGTTTTTCTTTTTATACCTTGTGAACAACTTGCTGATGTTAACACTGTAACTACATGAAAATTAGGGGGTCACAAAAGGTTCAACAACTTCTAGCACCTAGCTTGAGCATGGTGGTTCATAGGAAGTTGCCTTACACTGAGTCAGGCTATTGGCCCATCTAGTTCTGTATTGTCTACAATGACTAGCAGTGGCTCTCCAGAGTTCCAGACTTCCAGGCCTACCTGGAGATGCTGGGGATTGAACCCAGGACCTTCTGCATGCAAAGCAGAGGCTCTACTACTGAGCTATCACCCTTCTACTGCAGTTAACTCCAATTAGTTCTAACTGAGCATGTTCACACCATCATGTCTCATGTGTTTTGTTTAAACTTTGGTCCTCACTTGGAAGTGTTGAGACTTCAACTTAGTAGAAACTTCTTTTAGCACACCTTTGCTTGGGATGATCTCAAAGGTTTAGTATCTCACTGTAGCATTCTCTTACAGACTACTGCTTTCAAACCAGTTCCTTGGACTGAACTTGATCCTTGTCCTGTTGAGCTCCTGCTGTAACAACGCCAAGATGGGAAGCAAGGGAAGCAAGCAAAAATATACTGTGACTTTGGACAAACCACTTCTACAGAAAGCTAAAGAACTTCCTGAAGCCAGGGCAGAGGGTCCCAAGACCAAAGAAAAGCTAAAGGCTACTACAGAGCTCCCAGGTGAAAACTCAGATCCAGACCCTCAGATATCTGTTGCACAAGAAAGAGGTGAAAGAGCAGGACATCTTGAAGTTCACATGGAAGCACCTCCTGAACCTGAACCAGAAGAACAAGAAATGAGCCCTGAAGAAGAAAACCAACTTCTCCTTTCACCTGCCACTGGTGAAGTTCCTGAACAGGCTGAAGTAGGAACTGAAGAAGAAATTTCCTCAGTTAGTCTTCTGTAGGTGTTGAGGTATGGGGCATGTCATCTGCTAAAGAAAAACTTGAAGTGACCTCCATGCACAATAAAGGATGACATACTGATAGGGAATTCCTCTAAATATCTCCATAATTCAAAAGGACTGATGACTTAGCCAGTGCCAAACAACTGATATTCTAGGACTGTAGTGAAATATCATCTAAGCTTGGCCTGCTATGCTAGTGGCGTTGGAGCGTTCCAGAAAACCTACCATTCAAAAGAAGCTTCTTAAATTAATGATGGTCCTATTTTATTAAATAATGAGACTATGTACGATTGGCATAATAATAGGGCTCTTAAGCTTAGTTGATCCATAGCTGTCTTATCATAAATATCCAATAAAAATATATGATAGTGGATATTGTTCTAATGAATGGCTAAGGAAAATTATCCCCATTAAGATCTTTCTTTCTTTCTAATGCGTGCTAGAATGATTTCATTTTTGTCTGGCAAAAATTTTAACACTTACTGTCAATAAAATGTCATTTTATAATTGCAACCCACCAGTATCCTTTTTTTCCTGTTAGCCTTAGGCTGGCACGTTGCGTGAACTGTGAACAATATTTTATTTATTTGAAAATAAGTGAATGCTGCTCCTGGTCAATGAACAACGTGGCCTTACTCAATATTGGAGTGGAGAAAATATAGAATGGGGTGACAAAACAAGAGCACTTTATACTGCAACATTTTTGTTGCAGGTGCCATGGGTACTCACACATTTCTCTGATACCCAATGGCACAAAGAAATGTGCATACTATACGTTTGTTTCTAAGAAGTATAATAGGCTTGAACCTCCTTAACTGCAGTAGAATAGCAACTTTGTATTTCTGAGTTGTTTACCTTGCCAGCACAAGACAATTTGCTGCCTGAGGTGAAGCAGAAATTTCCATCCACAGTCAAGGTGTTTAGTACTCCAGGGCCTGCATGCACAGAATTGACTTGAAATAAGCAGTTCCTTCAGATCCGTAGGTAGGCGAGACATAAGCTATGCTGCTATGCTGCCTGCCTCTTCTTACATGGCCAAAGATATGATCCTCGAAAGCCAGGACCAGAGCTCAATACTTGCTTTAAGGCACAGCATGCCCAATGGGTTTCTGCATGATTTATCTCTCCCTTTTTGCTGCATTTACCTGTGAGGAATTATTTGTGGAGCTTGATCTATCTATGTTGGAAAGGCTCAGGAGAAATGGGGAAGATAGGAGGAGCTCCCATACTTCTCAGCATTGAGGAAACTGGAAAAGAGATGGGGAAGTTGTTTCTGCTCTGCTTCCTTCAGGGTCAGCAGCAGAAGTCCAGGCTATGTATCTGATACCTCCCATCAAAAGCTACAGGGCAGAGCTGCTGCTGACCAATGCCTTTGCCCCCTCTCCTCTACTGAACTTCCAATGGTTATTGAACAATTTTTTTTTATTCCAACAGGCAACTTAATTGAAGTTTGACTATTTTACTTTATTTTATTTTATTTATTTTATTTTATTTTATTTATTAGATTTATATACCACCATTCATCATATGATCTCAGGGCAGTTCACAGAATAAAAACTTTATAGTTTGAATGGATTTTTATTGTAGTATTGCTATCTTAAGTGGTATAGTCAGTCAGTCAGTTTTATTGCACATAGCCAAAGGCTGCCCCAATGTACACAGAATCATTCAACAATTAAAAGAAAATTCGCTGGATTAATACAAAAAACTTAAAACATTTATATTATCAATGCATTACCTACTCTAAACAGAGCTATAAAAGTACCTTAATATACATTAAGCGGTATATAAATTGTTTAAATAACAACATTTCTTTTTTCTAAATATTGTCAGGAGAATCAGCAGTATGTTCCCTGTAATATTTATAGACTGTGGTTTCCCTGTAATATTTATAGACTGTGGTTTTGTGAGTGCCTTGAAAGCTAATATGTATCTTAAGACCTAGGACTTGAGATCTTGGCTGTAATGGGGAGTCGTTCTGTAGTGAGCTACAAGACAGATTCCTGTGAAATTAAGGCTACAATAGTATGATTGGCCCACGTTGGGTGTTTGTGCCATAGAACTTGATGTGACTTTCTTGTGAGTAAAGTTGTATAGGACTGGACAGAACATCAAACACATACATTCCAACATTTCTAACAATGAAAAGAGGGGCGTCCTAAGGAAAAGCGGAACGTTCCAGGATTAAATTAGAAACAGGGACGGCTTCTGTAAACCTGGGACTGTCCCTGGAAAATAGGGACACTTGGATGGTCTGCCAACATGGGAGACTGTTTTATACCCAGTCAGAACATTGATCTATCCAGTGCTTTTTTCCCTGGGGGGATTCAGGGGGACGCATACCCCTAAACATTTTGTGAATCTAAGTTTGACTTCATTGAGGAGCAGTATTTCAATACAAGTAGGAAAATGAGAGTACCCCTAAACATTTTTTTAGAAATAAAGCACTGGATCTGTCTAAATGTCATTGCTTACACCAGGAATAGGAAACCTGTGGTCCTCAGGGGTCTTCCCTAGTCCTATCTAGGGATTGAACCATGGCTCTTCTGCAAACATATCAAATCATGTGCTCTTCCACTGAGATACATTCCTTCTCAAATAATGCCATAATTTGTGTTGGATGGGGGAGGGGCACGCAAGAAATAAACTGTTCTTAATTAGTCAAAAGGGGCTAATTTATAATCAGTGCAGCAGGAAGAGTTATATTCCCCTATCAGATTAAAACCTGTGCAAGTAAGTAATGGTTCATATCACTGCAAACATGTTAGGAATATCGTGAAAAAATGTTTGCAATTGCTCTCTAGAGCACCGTTTCCCAAGCAATTACAAGACCATCTCTAGTTATTTCAGAATGCGGCCGCATATGACACAGACCAGCAAAAGACTTGTCAGTTCTTCAGTTGCCAATTACTTGACGCTACAGTTATTTTGAGGGAGGCCACAAAGTCTCCCTCAAGCACTTCTCTGGTTAAGAGATGTAAGCAATGTTTTTTGGGGGTGATGTCACTTCCTCTCTGCTGAATTCTCCACACTCCCAAATCCATGGAGTATTTCACACATAATCAAATCAAGAAGCAAATTAAGTATCATTGGGAGCACAGGGGGAAACAGCCAACAAAATATCTCAGGGCCTATCTCCGTTTACCATTTCCAATTGCTCATTTACATTTCTCAGATGAACTAAAATTAATTCTTCAGGATGAGTTACACAGGAGAAGTCCTGAGCCTGCAATTATGTTGTAAATAGCAAGCAAGCAGCCAGGCAGACAGGAAAGGAATACCCTTGAAATCAACCCACTTTGTCACTGGTGCCTGGAATGTCAAAAACATCCGGTAGAGAAAGAAAGCCTCTCTCCTGTGTTCTCAAGACTGACCTTTCATTTTACTTTCAGGTCGAAGCCTGGGGATTTGCACAGGTCCAAGGAGAAGAATTACTAGACCAAATGTGTTATCAGACTTATTGGAAATATTATGTTGAGGGCCCTTGATAGGTAGGAAGGTGAATGTAAGAAATGCCCTGTTGGGTCAGCCCAAAGGTACATCTAGTTCAGAATCCTGCCTTTAAATTTGAACAGAATCAAATTTCTTCCCCATTCCTAGCCATAAATAACATGGAATTCAATGACCCTATTCAGAGTATGACTTAGTCAGATACCACCCAATAATAATTCTGCAACTGCAGGCCCCTTTGGCTGCTCAGCTGCCCCTGGAAAGACTACAACCAGGACATGACGGCCACAGTCTTCTACCACTATTCCCCAGTGCCTGGTCTCTAAAGTTATTTTGCCTCTGCACCCGGAAGTTCTATTTAGCTATCAGGATAAGCCAACACTCTATCCATGGGTATGCAGTACCGGCACATCTTTTTGTTGTTGTGGCACTTACTGTAACAACTTCTGACAAATTTTCTAGATGACTTCTTTTAAAATAAATTAAACTGATGTGGAAATGTGAAGAACTGAAGATCAGAAAAATGAGGAATGCAGGGAATTTTAAATCCAATCCATATGCCAAGTACAATTCCATTGATTTCAGTAATCAATACATTAATAGCCCATTAAGCAATATACTTGGCACCCAACAGTATAGTCTTATGTATTGTTACTCAAAAGTGAGTCCCACATCATAAATGGGACTTATCCCAGGTAAGTGTGCATAGGAGTGCATCCTATACACACTTACCTGAGAGTAATTCCAGTAGAACTCAGTAGGATTTGCTTCTGAGTAGACATGCCTAGAATTGTGATTTGTGCATAAACCAGTCTTTGCTAACCTGCTGGTGCCCTCCAAATGCTTTGGACTACAATTCCCAGCAACCACAGTCAGCATGGCCAATGGTCAAGAATGATGAGTGTTGGAGTTCAGCGA